AGACACTTCAGAAATATTTATAATGAAGTGGCTATTTCGTTTACCGGACAAACTGCGGGACTAAAACTTTGCAAGGGCTCTCCACATTTGTTTACAGTTTGGCGTGTAGTTGTTCAGGCAGCTGTAATGAAATAATGGTTATTGCAGTACGTGGTTCGAAGCCGGGCAAAAATGTGCAGCTGACCGAGAATGAAATCAAAGGCCTGTGCATCAAGTCGCGTGAGATATTTCTCAGCCAGCCGATTCTGTTGGAACTCGAAGCTCCTCTAAAAATTTGCGGTAAGTTTTCCGGTCAGGTACCTTTTTGAGTAAGTGCTTTTCCGCTCAAGATGCATAACGGCCAAGGATTTTTTAGGCGACGTTCACGGGCAGTATTATGATTTGCTGCGACTCTTTGAATATGGTGGCTTCCCGCCAGAGTCCAATTATCTCTTTCTGGGCGATTATGTCGACAGAGGTTTTTGTTTCCATCTTTTTTTTCCAGCAGTATCTTTTTGGAAAAGCAAAAGCTTCTTGTGTATTTGCGGGGGAATGTTTTTGTGAGTTCGCAGCATCTGAACGCTGAAGAGCAGTTTTTGTTAGGGATGAGCCTCAGAATTCGTGTGATGTCTCGGAACCGAACAGAATTTTCTGATGGCTTTTTTGTAGCAGGAATACCGGTACAAAAAAGCCATCAAATGACGCAGTTAAGGTTATGTGACCCGAGAACAGGCGACCAGCTGATGTAGCACCACTGCGAGAGATTGCAGTTTTGATACAGTGTTGTGAACTGTCAGTGGTATTTTAACGCTCTGATCAGGTGGCTGGCAACTTCGCCATTCTTCTCTATTTTGAGCTTCCTTCATTCGCATAATTCCATATAACCGCTGAAATCCATCTGCTGGCGGTCTTCACTGTGTTCTTTTAAAATCGCTTAGGTAAAACATTTTAGTGAAGTGCTCGAATAAGTTCATTTCACCTTGCATACTGAGCAGTGTTTTTATGGCGAAGTGTTTCAGGGAAGCAGTCTCTTGAGACGATTTGTTTATTGTTGGCGTACAAAATAAAGTATCCGGAGAATTTCTTTCTGCTCCGTGGCAATCACGAATGCGCCTCCATCAACAGGATATATGGCTTCTATGATGAGTGTTAGTGCTTGAAATTTCTTCACTTCGTCTCTTCCAAAATGTGCCCTCAGACTGTTAACCGGCAAACTCGCATATGAGTGGTACTTTTTGCGAGTAAGAAGTTTTGAAGAGCTGTAATTTCACGACGCTGTTTGTTGTGCGGTGATATGTAAATTGAGCTTTCGCACGGCCCCTCTGCATCTTTGGTACGATCGCCTGAAATCTGACGCAGACACTTTTGTCGCTTTGAAATTAAAACAGCCAAACGACTGAAATTTCTTC